CCGCTAAGGCGAGCCTCAGGAAAAAGACGATAAGGTAGCGACTGAAGTCGAGAGAAACTCTCTGACAAAATGATGCGCGGGGTCCGGAAGATGAAAGATGAAGTTGGAATTTCAAAGTTGTCCGAACTGATTACGCCTATACTATTTATTGTGTTTCCGCTGCGGCGAGCCTCAGGAAAAATACGATAAGGTAGCGACTGAAGTCGAGAGAAACTCTCTGACAAAACAGAATCTTCAGTTCAATCTTCGTCTGAAACCCCGACATTTTTTGTGGTCATGCAGACATTCCCCCCACCCACTTGTTCTTCCGGCGAGCCTCGGGGAAGATGACAGGCTAGTGACTACAGTCATGAGAAGGTTTAGAAACTCTCCGAAGATACAGAATCTTCGGTTCGATCGCCATCCGAGACCCGGAGTTTTTTCCTGCTCGTGTAGACATTTTCCTCATTGTTCTTCTGGTTCGATCTTCGAAGAGTTTCTAAACCTTTTCATGAGTGCAGTCACTAGCTTGTCATCTTCCCTGAGGCTCGCCGGAAGAACAAGTGGGTAGGGGGAATGTCCGCACGACCACAAAAAATGTACGGGTTTCAGACGGAGATTGAACTGAAGATTTTGTTTTGTCAGAGAGTTTCTCCTGACTTCAGTCGCTACCTTATCGTCTTTTTCCTGAGGCTCGCCGCAGCGGAAACACAATAAATAGTATAGGCGTAATCAGTTCGGACGACCTTGGAATTCCAACATATCGGTCTCAATGACCTTCACATTGCGACCTGCAGCAACGGATCAGTTCTCTGGAGCAGGTTCTTTTCAGGTCTGAGTCCGAGCTCCTCCAAGCAAGCTGTCTTTTTGAAACCTTTCTCTTTAAAAACTTGCTGCCAACACTTCAACTTCTCAGCCAAGGAGAAGTCTCTAGGGAGCCCARCAATGCAGTTGTGTTCGTGGGCCACGTTTCTGGCTTCCTCCAGAGTGAGGCCTGCGTAGATATAGCAGTTCGAGTGCTGGAAKGCGGAAACCTTTGAAAAYGAAGACCGCAGTTGATCCCGAGCTTCGCGTGTGCGCCATCCGCCCAACACAAAAACTTTGTAACCACCGGACAACAATCTCTGCTCGTCAACTGCGTCAACAGTATTTGCTTCCCCCTGGTCGATTAGACCAACAAGAGTCTGAGGAGCTCGCACGTATCTGGAAGGAGTTAGAAGAGATTGCTTCTAAAAAGGTATTAGAGAACTCCTTTCGTCTCCACATGGACTGTTTGCAGAGGCCGCCTGAGAACCTGCACGGCTAGAGACCCCTCGAGATCCGTGCGCGGAACGAGGTACATGCAAACAATCATCGCTTCACTCAAGAAGAACCACAAAAAAAGGTTCTTCTTGAGCGAAGCGATGATTGTCTGCACATGTACCTCGTTCGACGCACGGATCTCGAGGGGTCTTTGACCCTGCAGGTTCTCAGGCGGTCTGTGCAAACAGTCCAAGAGGAGACGAAAGGATTTCTTTGATACCTTTTTAGAAGCAATCTCTTCTAACTCCTTCCACATACGTGCGAGCTCTTCAGACTCCTCATCTTCAGCGAGCTCCGCCGGTAAATGCAGGTTTTGTTGAGCATTCCGCTTGCGTTTCGAGGACGTCAATGACTTCACCAAGATCTTCACTTTTTTCTTCTTAATCCCAACACTTGTGTCTGCTGCGCCCACTGGTTGCGGTGGAGTGGTATGCGACGCTTCTGGCTTCCTCTTCGAGCCTCCAGCAGGCATCGTGAAAGGCTTTCCCTTCGCTTTTGTCGAACCACAACCACACACAATATTTCCCTTAACATTGTAAGGGTTCCATACTTTACAGTTTAAGTCCTAAAACAGAAAACACAGAGCCTGCGTACACAGTCAACGATTTGCAGAGTCCTAGAAACTGTGAACACAGAAGCTGCGTACACAGCGAACAGTTTGCAGACTTGGAAGTTTATAGTCCTATAAACTACAAACATAGAAGTTGTGCACACAACGAACCGTTTGTAGACTTTGAGGTTTGTAGGCCTAAAAACTCCGACAGTGTCTTGTGCCGGCCGACTCGTTCCCTTAACTGCATGAATAAAAGTCGAAGTCCGTAGGATGGCAGATCCCCTAGTCCACAACAGTGTCTGGATCAACATTTCGTCCAGGATCGAAGCCCTCGCAACAGTTTGTGAAGGAAGCGGAGGTTGGGCATCAATACATCCGACAATGGCTGAAAAGAAAGAGGTGAAGCACAAGGAAGCATGCGGTAATGTGAAGGTCATTGAGACCGATATGTTTGAACTGGCGAATCATCAAAAGATGTCGTCTTTGTGAAACGCTTCTCTACAAAATGATGCGTGGGGTCCGACACAACTGAAACTGACCTTGTGTAGCCGCATATGTGTAGCATAAATTATTTGTCAGAGTCTGGAGGGCATCAGAGCCAAGGTTGTTTTCAACATGCCGGAAAGTGTTATGTGTCGGCCGGCTCGTTCCCTTGATGCCAGCGTGACTGCATACATAAAAGTCGAAGTCGGTAGGATGGCAGATCCCCTAGTCAACAACAGTGTCTGGATCAACATTTCGTCCACGATTGAAGCCCTCGCAACATTTTGTGAAGGAAGCAGAGGTTGGGCATCATTACATCCGACAATGGCTGAAAAGAAAGAGGTGAAGCACAAGGGAGCATGCGGTAATGTGAAAATCATTGAGACCGATATGTTGGAACTGACGAATCATCAAAAGACGTCGTCTTTGTGGAACGCTTCTCTACAAAATGATGCGCGGGGTCCCACGCAACTGAAACTGATCTTGTGCAGCCGCATATGTGTAGCATAAATTATTTGTCAGAGTCTGGAATTGCACATTCTCCATACAGTACTCAATACTCTCTTTGCTCCACCCGTGGAATGACGTCAAATCAAATACCAAAACTTTGTTCATTGCTTCCACAACAGTGCTCAACAATTCCTCAGCATGCCTTCCACCATCTTTCCCTCAACAAGAGCTGAGATGAAGATTTGCAATCATCCCTATTCCTACGATGGACGACAAACGTTTGTAGAGAAGGGTTTCAAAAAGACGACGGGCGGCAAGCGTTTGTACAGAAAGTTTTGTAAACTGCAGTTAGAACCTGTGGCCTCAAGATTTGCGACGGCTCAATCCTATATCTCACAATGCAGGGCTCTACAAATGCTAGGCTGACGTGACATTCGAGTATTTCTCGCAAGTCGTCCCTTGACAGTGAGCCCGCTATGCCTCTGGATGCTGCAGAGAGAACAGCCTCAGCCATCATCGTCTCAGTTAGATTTGAATTGAATCGCACATTCTCCATGCACTACTCAATGCTCGCTTTGCTCCACCCGTGGAAGGACGTCGAATCAAATACCAAAACTTTGTTCATTGCTTCCACAGTAGTGCTCAACAATTCCTCAGCATGCCTTCCATCGCCTTTCYCGCAACAAGAGCTGAGATGAAGATTTGCAATCATCCCTATTCCTSCGACGGAMRGCAAAYGTTTGTAGAGAAGGGTTTCAAAAAGACGACGGACGGCAAGCGTTTGTAGAGAAAGTTTTGTAAACTGCAGTTAGAACCTGTKGCCTCAAGATTTGCAGCGGCTCAATCTTATATCTCACAATGCAGGGCTCTACAAATGCCAGGCTGACGTGACATTCGAGTATTTCTCGCAAGTCGTCCCTTGACAGGGAGCCCGCTATGCCTCTGGATGTTGCAGAGAGAACAACCTCAGCCATCACCGTCTCAGTTACATTTGAATAGAATCACACATTCTCCATGCAGTACACAATGCTCTCTGTGCTCCACTCGTGGAATGATGTCGAATCAAATACCAAAACTTTGTTCATTGCTTCCACAGCAATGCTCAACAATTCCTCAACATGCCTTCCACCCTCTTTCCCGCAACAAGAGTTGAGATGAAGATTTGCAATCATCACGATTCCTACGACGGACGACAAACGTTTGTAGAGAAGGAATGACGGACGTTAAGTGTTCGTAGAAAAAGTTTTGTAAACTGCAGTTAGAACCTGTGGCCTCCAGATTTGCAGTGGCTTAATCCCATAACTCACAATGCAGGGCTCTACAAATGCCAGGTTGACGTGACATTCGAGTATTTCTTGCAAGTTGTCCCTTGACAGTGGGCCCGCTATGCCTCTGGATGCTGCAGAGAGTACAGTCTCAGCCATCATCGTCTCAGTTACATTTGAATGAAATCGCACATTCTCCATGCAGTACTCAATGCTCTCTTTGCTCCACCCGTGGAATGACGTCGAATCAAATACCAAAACTTTGTTCATTGCTTTCACAAGAGTGCTCAGTAATTCCTTAGCATGCCTTGGGATCGCCACTTTTAGCAGCGGACCAAATTCTTGGTCATAAACCATACTTGAAACAAGCAGTTGGATCTTGTGGCACAAGATATCAATCTGCTACTGCTTTGTAGAGAAGGGTTTAAAAAAGACCACGGACGACAAGCATTTGTAGAGAAGAGTTTCAAAAAGACGACGGACAACAAACATTTGTAGAGAAGGGTTTCAAAAAGACGACGGGCGACAAACATTCTTAGAGAAGAGTTTCAAAAAGACGACGGACGACAAACATTTGTCGAGAAGGGTTTCAAAAAGATGATGGAAGACAAATGTTTGTAAAGAAGGGTTTGAAAAAGACTACGGACGGCAAAAGATGACGGACGACAAGCGTCGAAGCTGCTGCTGTAAGTGTGGTAGGCGGGGAGTGAACCCGACTTCTTAAAGGTATTTTGGAAAACCACAAGGATCCTGTACGGGAAGTTTGAGAACAAAGTTGGCTGGGAGTCACACGCCACACTTGTTATTCATGTTAAAGGTTGAAACAGTGGTTTCTCTTTTGAATGTTTGTAGAGAAGGGTTTCAAAAAGACGACGGGCATAAAGCAAGCTTATTTGGAGGAACTCGATCTCAGACCTAAAAAGAAGCTGTTCCAGAAAACTGATCCGTTGCTGTAGGCCGCAATGCACTCCAAAGAGGTTTGTAAACTGCATCAAGCGTTTGTAGAGAAAGGTTTTAAAAAGATGACGGGTGCGAAGCGTTTGTAAAGAAGGGTTTCAAAAAGACGACGGACGACAAACATTTGTAGAGAAAGGTTTCAAAAAGACGATGGACGACAAGCGTTTGTAGAGAACGGTTTGAAAAAGACGACGGCGGAGTGTTTGTAGAGAAGGGCGACAATGATTTAAATGCAATACTTGGCAGCAGTGGAGATGAAGAGGAGGAAGACGATGAGGAGGAGGAAGAGGATGAAGAGGATGGAGAGGATAGAAAGGGGGAGAGGAATGAGGATGGATGCTGGAGGACGAGGAGGATGACGCTGAGATGGAGGCACCAGAGGTGGGGTAAAAGGATGAAGATAATAGGGGTGAGGGAGAGGATACGGTGAAAGAAGGAGAGGAAAAGGAAGAGGAGGGAGAGCGGGACAGAGAGGAGGACAGAGAGAAAGACAGAAAGAAGGATAGAGCGAAGGATAAAGAGGAGGACAGAGAGGAGGACAGAAAAGTGGGTGGTCTTTGTAAATACGAAGCAGGAAGAGGAGCCTAGACAACACAAGCCTGTACACAATGAAATGACTCTTGTTCACTCTTCTTCTACGAGGGTGGTCTTTGTATATATGGAGTAGAAAGATGACGGATGACAAGCGTTTGTAGAGAAGGGTTTTAAAAAGACGACGGACGACAGTCGTTTGTAGAGAAGGGTTTGAAAAAGATGACGAGGGGCAAGTGTATGTAGAGAAGGGCGACAATGATTTAAATGTAATACTTTGCATTGGCAGCAGTGAAGATGAAGAGGAGGAAGACGAGGAGGAGGAGGAAGAGGATGAAGAGGATAAAGAGGGGGAGAGGAATCAGGATGGAATGCTGGAGGACGAGGAGGATGAAAGTGAGGATGAAGAGGAGGATGAAGAGGAGGATGACGTTGAGATGACGGCACCGGAGGAGGGGCAAAGGGATGAAGATGATAAGGGTGAGGAAGAGGATACGGAGGAAGAAGGAGAGGAAAAGGAAGAGGAGGGAGAGAGGGGCAAAGAGGAGGACAAAGAGAAGGACAGAGAGGACGACAGAGCGGAGGACAGAGAGGAGAACAGAGAAGAGGGTGATCTGAGTAGATAAGGAGCAGCGTGCCCAGCGAGTCCCTCTGAACAGGCGGTGAAAATGTCGGCAGCTGTTTTGCGTGATTTCTGCAAGTTTAGTCAACTGAAGCCTGCACTCGGAAACAGAGGAGTCAAAGAACGGACGATCTCTAGACGATCTCGTGATGTCCCCTTGAACGATTTGGGCCCCTATAGCGGTGGGTGCCGACTTAAAGCTAAGTCGATTTATAGTCCTATAAATCAATGTTGCWAAACAGAAGTAACCAACGAGGCTCTCCTAGCACCGGAGGAAAAGAYATATAAATATAAGATTCCAACTGACAGTCTACTAGGGCAAAGGGATGAAGATRACATGGATGAGGGAGAGGATACGGAKGAAGAAGGAGAGGAAGARGAAGAGGAGGGAGAGGGGGACAAAGAGGAGGACAAAGAGAAGGACAGAGAGGAGGATAGAGAGGAGGATAAAACGAAGGACAGAGAGGAGGACAGAGAGGAGGACAGAGAAGAGGGTGGTCTAAGTAGATAAGGAGCAGGAAGAAAGCCGACAATGAGTAAGATTACACCCTCAGGTAATTGTGCCCAGCGAGTCCCTCTGAACAAAGATTTAAATGTAATACTTGGCAGCAATGGAGATAAAGAGGAGGAAGACGCTGAGGAGGAGGAAGAGGATGAAGAGGATAGAAAGGGGGAAAGGAATCAGGATGGACGCTCGAGGATGAGGAGGATGACGCTGAGATGGAGGCACCGGAGGTGGGGTAAAGAGATGGAGATAACATGGGTGAGGGAGAGGATACGGAGGAAGAATGAGAGGAAGAGGAAGAGGAGGGAGAGCGGGACAGAGAGGAGGACAGAGAGAAGGACAGAAAGGAGGATAGAGCGAAGGATAGAGAGGAGGAAAGAGAGGAGGACAGAGAAGAGGGAAAAGAAAAGGAGGGAAAAGAAAAGAAAGAAGAAGATGGGGAGCAGGAGATGGGGACAGGTTGCAAAAAAACCACCTCCTTATCCTCCCCCTCCTCCATTAGTATCTGAGATTGCTTCTAAGAAGGTATGTGAGATTCGTCTCCACATGGACTGTTTGCAACGGCCGCCTGAGAACCTGCAGGGCCAGAGACCTCTCGAGATTCGTGCACCGAACGAGCTATGTGTGCAAATAATCATCACGTCGCTCAAGGGGAACCCGTTTGGATGTCCTCGGAAGCAAGCAAGAACTGTTCATGCAATTGACGAGAAGAGGTYGYTGTCCCYTGGTTACAAAGTTTKTGTAAGGGACCGAGGGCACAAGCGTGAAGCTCGAAACAGGATGCGGTCTTTGTTTCCAAWGGTTTCCACAAAGATTTTTYTTTGGTTGAAAAGTTGAAGTGCTGGCGGCGATTTTTTGTAGAGAAAGGTTTCRAAAAGACGGCTGACASAAAGCAAGCTTGCTTGGAGGAGCTGAGACTCAGTCCTAAAAAGAAGATGATCCAAATAACTGATCCGTTGTTGCAGGTYGCAATGCACTTCAGACAGCAAAGTCGCATTACAAAGGACTACAAATCGATTTGAAGCAGTGTTTCTCCCTCTGCCTCGCTAAACCTTTAGGAATTGCCAAGATTCTCTAACTGAAGTTGAATTTGAGTTCATAAAAGCGACGCAACCAACGTTCGAGTGCAGAACCAATAATGCTCTCTTGTCCACCTGAACGCTTGGAGCACAGTTTCTCCCTCCGCTGCTTCGCGCTCAAGTCAATCAACTTCGTTTTTGGATGGATGGTACGGTACTTGTCGGGAACTGAATTGAAGCGAGGCAGTTAGCAGCCTCGCGTGGAATCCGCCCTGTCTGGCTGGCAGGGCGCTACAAGGACCTCACGACAAAAAAGCAAAAAATGAAAACCACATCTCACGGTCCTCACATACTGGTCAGATACATTTCTCAAAGCACTGGTGTAACCCCCACGTACTTAAGGCCGGGAACCTCACAATTCGTCGGGGAAGTAATGCCATCTACTACTTATGCTTTACATAACACACGCAYGCCCCTCCTAGTTAGGGCTGGTACTTAGATAATGAGCGGGGTTCAGGGCAGCATAGGGCGGAAAGTAGAATATGATAACTCACATACTGGTTAAGGACCTCTCACGGTCGTCACATACTGGTCAATTACAGTCCTCAAAGCACTGGTGTAACCCCCACCTCCGTGGATTCAGAGTTCTTCCTCATTAGGGCTGCTACATAGATAATGAGCGGGGTTTAGGGCAGCGAGGGGCGGAAATGGGCAGCAAAGAGCGGAAAGTAGAGTAAGGTAACTTAKGCAGGGGGGTGARGTGGTACATGCTTCGTCAGGGAAGGTAACTTAGGGCTGGTACTTAGATAATGAGCGGGGTTCAGGGCAGCAAAGGGCGAAAAGTAGAATAGGATAACTTATGCCGAGGGGAGAGGTGGTATATCCTTCCGCAGCAAAGATACCAATGCCGTCTACTCAGGCCTCCCACCCAAAACGGGGAGGACTGTGTGTGAGTTTTCCTCGTATCTCAAGTTGGTAGGAACCGGACTGATGTTCCTTAGAATGGAATTCGGCATGTGGTCTCCCTGTCTAAGTCTCTCACGTACCTTACGCTCTCTCTCTCTGAAGACC